GTGTGTGTGTGTGTGCGTGTGTGTGTGCGTGTGTGTGTGTGTGTGTGTGTGCGTGTGTGTGTGTGTGTGCGTGTGTGTGTGTGTGTCGGGGCGCGGGCTCCGCGGTTTGCGGATCGGTGTTCGACGGTCGAGGATCGATGACTTAATTAGGCTCGAGGATTGGGGCTCGAGCATCCAGGCTCGAGGATCGAGGTTCGAGGGTCGAGGATCCCCTGGGGTCCCGACGTCTCAATGGTGCCGAGCCAGGCGATGGCGCCCAGTGTCAGGCCCCGGGGACCCTCACAGGGCGATCGAGCTCGAACGAAAGATCCTGCAGAAGGATGGGGTCTGGGGCTCCGGTCGTGATGTTTGATTCAAGGGAAGAAGATCGAGCTCGAAGATCGAGCGGGTTCCGGTTGCGCGCGCCGACGCCGCACGAATTTACCGCACGATGTTTCAATTTTTCCATGCGATCAGATCGAGGCTTCAGGCTCGAGGTTCGAGGATCGAGGATCGAGGATCGCCAGCGTCGGGCTGCCTGCTCGTGCCGGAGAACCCTCGTCGCCACGGCCGGATCTTCTTCGAGGTTCTCGCCAAAAGGTATCTTTACGTCGGGCATGCCCTTCTACTCGAGGAATATTCAAAATTAGTAAAAAATCGTCTGGGCACGTTTCTGTTGAGCATTGTTTGATTATTTTTGATGGTTTGCTAGACTAATTTTATTTTTCGTCCAAAGTCCGCCTGTAGGGGAACATGCCCGACCTAACGCCAGAAGGTATCGTCAAGGGAATGGTATCGTCGAACGGGGCCAGGACGAGGGAGCATCCGTTCCAAAGCGTCCCAGAACGCTCTCAGAGCGTTCCGGAACGCTCAGAGAAGGCCGCGGCGCCCGATGCATTTTTCAGGACCGTTGGATCTCAGATATGATCGATTTATCCTCACCTGGATTTGCCCTCGTCCTGGCTTCGTCCCGAATCGTAATCTGTCTGCCCCCGACCGCGCCATGAGCCAAGACCACTTCGCGTCAAAGAACGAGCGCGACGTCAGATTCGTCTCTACGTGCAGCCTCCGCCGTCTGGCCGCTCCGAGCGGTGGCCCCAGAGCGGTCTTAGGGGGGGGGATTGTCAAAGAAGAAACACCGTCGTGCACAGAAACATATTGCGCCGCAGCGCGGTGGAGTTGGGCAAGCGGCTGCAGTCCCGAAAGGTTAAAGACTGCATCAGCATGAGCTTTCAACGGTCCGCGTGAATGTCTTGGGTCTGCGCTGGGAGCCTCCTGGCGGCGTCTCCGGCGCCGCCCCTAGCGCGCGCGCGCCACGGAGGGGGTCCGGCGCAGATCCGACAGCTCCGCGCGGAGCTCCGAGGGAGTCGCCGAGGGCCCTGAACAGTGCACGCCGGACTGTTTCTGTTGCCGGTTTCTGGCCCGTGGAGGCCTCGGCTGGGCCCCGGGGCCGTCGAAGAGCGATTCGGGATGGAAAGCGGGTCGGGACCTTTGGCGGTAGACGTAAGTCTGGCCTGTCCCCCTACAGGGGGATTGTCGACGAAAAATCAAAAATATTCAAAAACAATCCAAAAAATAGTCCGAGGACTATTTTTTCCGTATGTTTTTACCTTTTTGGTGTTTTTTTTTGTAATTATTTTTAATTTTTTCGTCGAAAATCCTCCTGTAGGGGGACACGCCCGACTTAACGGTAGACGTAAGGGGTTTGGGCACGGGGGCTGCTCGGGCGGGGCCAGGACAGGGAATAAGTCGTTCCGGAGCGTTCTGGAAGGCTCTCAGAGCTCCCCAGAACGCGCAGCCTCCGAGCGGCTTGGGCGGGAGGATCGGGGGAGGGCGGTCGTGGTCGTGGGTGGTGCCGAGTTCCCGTTGCCTCTGGGAGCAGGAAGGACCCCGAGGTCCTGGCGCCTCGAGTTTTCCGAGCCCGTGGGCGTTTGTGTGCGCCCGTGGGAGCCTGACGGGTCTTTGGGTCGCTTGATGGGTCTCCGGGTCGCCTCCCGCTGCGCGCTCCACACCGCCATCTATCGACTAATTACGCGTAAGAGTGACCTTTCGCCGGAGTGACCTTTGGTGCGGGCCCATTGGGGTACCCCGATCGCCAAATGCGGGGCGATAGTTGTTTCTCGCGCGCTTGGGTTTAGCCCCCTCGCGGTTCCCCGAAAGCCGCGCACCAGAGGTCACTTTTGTCTAGGGTCGCTCTTGCGTGTAGCCGACTCGATCCCGAGGTGCTCACGCGCGCCACCCCGCACAGCCCTTGGACGAAGATTGACCTGACCGTCGACGTCATCGCCGCCGCGGAGCTGCCCCCCCTGCTGCCTTGCGCTTGGGCGATCCTCCCTCCCCCAGGAGGGAGAGCGAAGGAGAATGAGGGATGAGGAAAGAGAGAGGGAGAGAGAGAGAGAGACCCAGGCATGATCGCGTCGTACAAAACATCACGGCGATAGGCTTTTGGGGTCGTCTTTGGCCTCCAGGATCCCTCGCCGGGCGCCGGGACTGAAAAAATAATACTCGGGACGAGAACCCGGCCCGGGGGAATGGTTGCGGTGTTCCGCGGGCCGCGCCCTGAAAAAATCGGGACGGCGCATGCTTGGGGAGTGTGTGTGTGTGTGGTTGTGTGTGTGGTTGTGTGTGTGGTTGTGTGTGTGTATGTGTGTGTGTGTGTGTGTTTGTGTGTGTGTGTCTGTGTGTCTGTGTGTCTGTGTGTCTGTGTGTCTGTGTGTCTGTGTGTCTGTGTGTCTGTGTGTCTGTGGGTCTGTGTGTCTGTGTGTCTGTGTGTCTGTGTGTCTGTGTGTCTGTGTGTCTGTGTGTCTGTGTGTCTGTGTGTCTGTGTGTCTGTGTGTCTGTGTGTCTGTGTGTCTGTGTGTCTGGTGCTATCTGGTGTGCCGTGTTCTGGGGTGGCTGTGTTCTGTTGTCTGTGTGGCCTCTGTGCCTCTGTGCCTCTGTGCCTCTGTGCCTCTGTGCCTCTGTGCCTCTGTGCCTCTGTGCCTCTGTGCCTCTGTGCCTCTGTGCCTCTGTGCCTCTGTGCCTTTGTGCCTCTGTGCCTCTGTGCCTCTGTGCCTCTGTGCCTCTGTGCCTCTGTGCCTCTGTGCCTCTGTGCCTCTGTGCCTCTGTGCCTCTGTGCCTCTGTGCCTCTGTGCCTCTGTGCCTCTGTGCCTCTGTGCCTCTGTGCCTCTGTGCCTCTGTGCCTGTGCCTGTGCGTTTGCTGCCTGTGCCTGTGCTTATGCTTTTGTTTGGGTGTGGGTTTGGGGTTGTGTTCGTGCCTGTGTTTGTGTTTGTGTTTGTTTTTGTGTTTGTGTTTGTGTGTAGACTTCGTGGTTCGCGGCGCTGGCGGATGCGAGCCCGACTGCAGAGCCTGTGGGCCACGCCGGACACCGGGCGCAGTGGAGCGGGTGGCAAAGCTCAGGACGGCCGCGGTAGGCGAGGGGGGGAGGAGGAGGAGGAGGAGGAGGAGGAGGAGGAGGAGGAGGAGGAGGAGGAGGAGGAGGAGGAGGAGGAGGGGGGGGAGGAAGCTGGCCGCCGAGCGTCGCGGAGGGCGGGCGCGTGCAGGTGTCCGCAGGCGCGGCGGGAGGCCAGCGTAGAGCCAGGTGTGCGACGTGGCCGCACGAGCCCGGACCACACGAGCACGGACCCCGAGTTTGAGTTCGAGGGATCGCTGTCAGCTTGAGCGTTTAGCATTGTGCTCGACTTTTCTCCGCCCCCTCCTCCTCTTCCTCTGCCCTCCTCCCCGTTTCTGTGGTGGAGCCCTGGTGTTGCAATCAGAGCAGACTGGTGGCACGTTGATCTCCAGCTGGCCGCATCCCCCTCCGTTTCTCCCGTTCCCTTCTTCCAAAGAAGCAGCAACAAATTTGTCGCCCAGTCCCGTGCACGGCGCTGAGCGGCCATCTCGACCACATTCGCAGGACAGCGTTTAACCTGCGATTGGCGCTCGCGCACCGTAGGTTCTGGTATGGTCATCGAGTGTTACTCCTATACTGCGATCGGTCCGCCCCCCCCCCAAAAAAAGCACGTGGCGCCTGGAGAGGAGGTGTTTCGTTGTTTCATGAAGCATCGACTAGGGGATGAACCACGGAATTGATTCACCCCGAAATGGATTGTTCGTCGCATCCAGAGAGGAAACAGTGAGACGTTCGGGGGCTGCTATACGTGCTCCTCTCTGGCGATCCGACGAAACAAAAACAAGTTTGGAGCAGAATGACATAAACATAAAAACTCGGAGGTCCGCGCGGACTTCTCGGATCGGCGCTCGGGCCCCCTGGCGGCGCCTCCGGTGCCGCCCCTGGCGCGCTCCGCGCGCCAGGGAGGGGGGTCGAGCGCCGTTCCGAGAGATCCGCGCGGACCTCCAAGTCTTTATGCTTATTTAATGTTTTGGTCCCCTACATCCCCAGGCCGAAAGTTCGTTCCTCTTGGACTACAAGTATGAGAACATCAATGGATCCAATTGGATCCCTTCTCGGGTGTGGGAGAGTTTCGTGGATCCTATTTCTGTGTTGCGCGGATCCAATTTCCCATGTGCGAAAAAACCAGGGATCCATCGATTTCCCGGGAATGAAGCTATGGGGAAGAGGGGGGTCTTCCCGTGTGGGGCTCAAGAGGAAAACCTTTCGGCCTGCGCAAGTATGTCTTGTGAGCCGTAGGGTGTCTCGTGGGATGTTTCACGGGGTGTCTCGTGGAATGTGTCGTGAGGTGTCTCGTGGAATGTTTCGTGAGGTGTCTCGTGGGATGTTTCGCGGGGTGTCTCGTGGGATGTTTCGTGGGGTGTCGCCCAGTTGGGTATCGTGAAAACGTGACCATGCTGCACGTGTCTATATCCCTTTCCGGGTTCGTGGGTCCATCATGTTGCGAGCCGTGGCCTCGGATGTTTTTTTCCCCCGAAAGGGCGTCGGCCCAGGCTTCTCTTTTAGTTGGTTTACCCCTGGTTTTGACATGCAGGGGGCCGGCGGAGTTATTTGCGAGAAATAACAAGGTCGAAGAGGGCCGGCGGAATTATGTTTGAGGATGTCTCGAGCGAAACGTTGATTTTTCAGAATTTGTTGAGGATGTCTCGAGCCGTGGCCCCGGGATCGCGGGCCCCGCCCGTCCTCCCAGGGTGCGGGGGCCGCCGCCGCGGGAGGCGCGGTAGGCCGCCTCCCGGAGCGCGCCGCCTCAGCGGCTCGAGCCGAGCACGTCCCGCCCACTGGAGGGATCGTCAGACGTGGTCACCGGAATGGTCGGGGGACGATCCTTTTGTGGTTGTCGTTCGATCGTTTTGGGGGAAAACACACACACACACACACACACGCACAAAAAAACACACAAAAAAAGAAAAACAAACACACACACACAACACAAAACACAAAAACACACACACAAATACACACACACAAAACAATAACAACAACAACAACAACAACAACAACAACAACAACAACAACAACAACAACACTCATTTTACCCGAACGCGTGGTGTTCTCCCCAGTGCCAGGGTTTTCATACGACACCAGGCAATACCCCCACTTCGTGGGGGGGCATTACAAGCTCTACCAAATATCCAAACTACTCTTCGCGACCACCCAAACCCAGCTTCCCGCCCTATGACGTTGGGACACTTCACTTCGTGGCGTGCGGACGACCGTGGCTACTACACTGGCGTGGGGTACACACCCACAGAACTTGGTCACTTATTCGGGGCGCGCGTGTGCCCAGCATCCTGCAATTGTGACATACAATACATGACACAGACAGACCGAGAGAGAGACAGAGAGCAGACAGAGAGAGAGACAGAGAGAGCGGAGTTGGTCACATTTTTGGGGCAAGTTCCTGAGATCGTCGTGTTTTTTGTTGGTCTTGCGCGCGCGAATGTCCACTTTACTTTTTTTTGCAAGGGAGTATTGAAATTTGATTATGTTAGAACAAGAAAAAGTAGCTCGCGCGAGCTCATGTAACATAAATGTTGAAAAACCATTGGGTTTGTGGGAGTCGGACAGCGCGCGCGGGATGAAATTTGGACATTTTTTTTTGAAAAACCATTGGGTTTTTGATGTTTTTATGTTGAAATCGTTACGAAACCTAAGGTTCTGGAAGGATTTCGTCTTGCGCGCGCGCGAATGTCCACTTTACCTTATTTTTTGCAAGGGATTATTGAAATTTGATTATGTTAGAACAAGAAAAAGTAGCTCGCGCGAGCTCATGTAACATAATGTTGAAAAACCATTGGTTTTGTGGGATTCGGACAGCGCGCGCGGAAGGACATTTTGACAATTTTTTCTTAAAAAACCATTGGGTTTTTGATGTTTTTATGTTAAAATCGTTACGAAACCTAAGGTTTTGGACGGATTTCGTCTTGCGCGCCCACGATCTCCACTTTACCTTATTTTTTCGCAAGGGAGATATCTTGCATTTGATCAAGTGAGACAAGAATTTTCATTTTATAGTGTTTTTTGCAAGGGAAAACGAGCGTCAACAAAAAACCGGATCCGGTAATAATCCACTTTTCTGAAGCTTTCGCTAGAAAATGAAGGAAATGAGGCTGCGGCCTAGGTTTTGGAGGGGGGTCGTGCACCAGGGGTCCCAACAATAATTATTCTTAAGAAGAAATAATGTTCAACAACAACAACAACAACATACAAAAACACACACTGGGTATGCTGTATGCATCTTCTGGGTATGCTGTTTATGTTTCCCCCGAGCTCCGCCTGTAGCAGGACACAGCCGATCCTACTCCGCGGCGCGCCTCCGCGCAAGCGCGCGCGAGGCGGGCCCAGCGCCGATGCGAGAGGACGTCCGCGCGAGCCTCGTCGGGGGGAGGGAGAGACAGTCGATCAGTGACTTGTGCGTTGCCGGTTCTCGAGAGGGCGCCGCGGCCGTGTTTTTTTTGCCAGGCGTGCGCCCGCCAGGCTCGGGCCCGAGGCCGTTTTCACGAAACCACGCTTTCTTGAAATCAGCGTTCACTGCGTACCCATCTGTCGTTGAAAGCGGTTTTTCTATTCCTAGATCGCAAGCTGCTTTGGCCGCCTTCCATGTCAACGATCGAGTGGCTTTCCCTCTTCCCTCCTCTTCGGGAGGCGAGCGGAGACCCAATCTACTGCCAACGCCCTCTTACTCCATGGTTCTGCCTACTTCTTCCGACCAGTGGGTAGCCCTGGGCGGTTACTGAACGGCCCTGCCCCGTCAGAGCCTTTCCACGGGTGCGTTCACCGGAGGGTTTCACCCGTCGGGGTGCATGAGACGACAGTGGGTCTTCTGCCCAAGCGGGTCCTGATGGATTTGGGTCCTGGATCCCGGGGCATTGCCACAGGACCAGATTACCGTCCTGAGCTATTCACTTACACTCCCGGTTCCACGAGGGCCCCTGGAGCCCGAACACGTTGAGAAGTGTCGGGACCCGCCTCTTTTTGAACGATGTGTGCTCTTCCTCGGTCCGCTCCCTCTCTTGACCAGGGGCAGTGTTCTGGGGATAGGCTCAGGGGGGGATACATCGACCCCCAAAGATAGGCTCAGGGGGGGACACATCGACCCCCAAATGGCCCGCTCGCCGCCGATAATTAGGGGCCCGACCACCCCGCCCAGGAAGATATGGACTGGCTACTGCGGGCCCACTGCCGATGCATCGGCGAGATACCGTCGGGGCGCTGCAGACGGAACCCTTGTCGTTGGGGAGGGGCTCGGTGTTCCTAAACGGTTCCGTTCCATGCCCAAGGTGGTCCTCAAGTTTCCGATGGGACGTCGAAGCTTAGCCTATGAAAAGAAGGGGGCCTCGTTCCTTCTTTAGGGTCCCTTGGGTCAACGCCTCGACTGTGTCGCCAACTCAAGCTCGACGCTCCCCCCCGAGCTGGTGTCTGCACCGCCGCCGCGACGACGACGGCCTCTTCGATCGGGCCGCTCGGCCCGCGGCCGACGCCGCCGAGTTGCGCACGGAAGCTGGGGCGGGGTGGAGGGCTTCCCCGAAGGGCTTCGGCGAACCGTCCTCCTCCTCCTCCTCCTCCTCCTCCTCCTCCTCCTCCTCCTCCTCCTCCTCCTCCTCCTCTCCTCCTCCTCCTCCTCCTCCTCCCCCTCCTCCCCCTCCCCCTCCCCCTCCTCCTCCCCCTCCCTCCTCCTCCTCCTCCCCCCTCCCCCTACCCCTCCCTCCTCATCCTCCTCCGCCCTCCTCCTCCTCCCCCTTCCTCCTCCTCCTCCTCTCTCCTCCTCCTCCCCTCCTCCTCCTCCTCCTCCTCCTCCTCCTCTCCTCCTCATCCTCCTCCTACTCCACAATTACTCAATATGAATACTACTCTCCTCCTTCCCCTGATGACGGGTTGGGAGTGTTCGCCCCCCCCCCCCGCGTATTGTTTTTTACACACAGGATTCCCTGGAGTTGGTTTTTCGCTTGCATCCTCTCGCTGAATCGTGCTCCCGCTGCAGCGCTGGCCTCATTTCCGCGCTTCCGCTCGTTCCGAATCGTGCTCCCGCTGCAGCGCTGGCGTCATTTCCCGTGCCATGCCACGGCATGCAATGCAATGCTAGGTTGCGTTCCGCTGCGCGATGCCATGCCTTCAGCTGAAGCTCTGATATGCAGTGCTTAAGTGCCACGTCGTGCTATGCCATGCTACGCTGTGATCTTCAACGCCATGCTATGCAATGTTATGTTCGGGGCCGCTGTGCGATGCCATGCTTTGCGCTGCAAAGCTTTGTGATGCAAGTCTTCACTACGCCACGCCACACCATGCTGTGACATGCTACGCTTTGCGGTGCTCTTCCACGCCATGCCATGCCGTGCTCTACAATGCATCGCGTACCCTTTCGGGATCATTGCCCTGCTCGACATCCGACTGTGCGAGTAGAGAGGGAATATACGCCATGGTAAGGGATGGGAGGGAGGGGTAGGATGTCAGATATGACGCGAGCGCACCTAGCTTGTCTGTCCCTCCTCCCCCTCCCCCTCCCCCTCCTCCCCCTCCGAGGGTTTGTCGACGTCTTCTCCCGGGCGCACCGCTGAGGTCCTGCTCGGTCTGCTCGCCCTCCGGCGAGGCGCACCAGAAGTGCAGCGAGACGACAGGAGGCGCCCGGCGGGCCGGCCGCCGGCTTTCAGCCAAGCGACCGCTGCGCGGGGCCGCCAGTCGCCGCAGGAAGCAGCACGGGCTCCCAGCAGACCTGGCGGAGAGCACAGCGCAGCGCGACAGCCCTCCTCGTCCTCGTCCTCGTCCACGTCCTTGCATGTCCTCCTCCCTCCTCCTCCTCCTCCTCCTCCCCCTCCTCCCCCTCCTCCTCCTCCTCCTCCTCCTCCTCCTCCTCCTCATCATCATCATCATCATCATCCTCATCCTCATCCTCATCCTCATCCTCATCCTCCTCCTCGACGGCATCCCTGCCGGCGCTCTCCTCTCCTGCCCGCCGTACCTTGCAGGTTGCCCCGCGCGCTCCGCCCGCAGCAGGCGGCCGATCCAGCCTGACCCCGACCTGACCCGGGGGCCCCGATTTGCCGCCGGGCTCCAGGTGTGTGGGGGGGGGGGGCATCGGGGAGCCTTGAAAAAGCAGCGTGGAGCCTGTGCCCTTCCCCCCCACGCCGAAACCTGGGTCTTCGAGGTAGGTTGGTGTGGTCTGGCAGGTCGTCTGATCCCAGAGCTGCCTTCTTTCCACAAGGGGCGCGCTTGCGCCCAGGTTCGGGACCTGGGACCCTCACGGAGCCACCTGGCTCGAACAGTGGCGCAGGAAGATGTGGTTTGGGACTCTGTTTTTCGCAGTTGTTCAGGAGGTTGTATACAGTGAGCGGCTTGAATAAGGAACATTTGCGTTCCAGGAGGGACTCGGTCGTTCCTTAGGCTCGCATGCGTTATTCAGTTATCGTTCCTGATGCGTTATGTTTTCTGTATCGTTCCTTGTGCGTTACTCCTTGGAAACAGGGGCTTCGTTCCACTAAACCCAGTTCTGCCAACGCCCGATTGGAGGTCTCTCAACGCCCGATTGGAGGTCTCTTGGGCCGTCTTGGGGCCACTCTGGAGATGCATTGGGCCGGGTCTTGGGCTGACGGAGCCCCCCAAAAAGGCGAGACCGCGAAGGTCAGTGCAAACGCGTCTTGCGTCGCGGCGCGGCAGCGGCAGTCCGCCGCGCGCGTCCGGGCAACCCAGGCTGCCGTATACTGCAAATCGCTCCGCATGCAAGAACAGGGGAGAAGACGAGAGGCGGCGGATGGGGAGGGGAGGGGAGAGAGAGAGAGAGAGAGAGAGAAGGAGGAGGGAACAGAGAAAAACCGTTCGTTCTGACACTTGCGGGCACGTGGCGTTTTGCAGCGCCTCGGCGTGCCCCACCGTTCTCCTTCGTCGTCGTCGCTGTTCTCCTCCTCATCCTCCTCCTCATCCTTGCTTCTGTCCTCCTAGGGACCCGTCCTCCTCCATCTCTTCCTCGTCGCCCTCGTGCGTCTCTTCCTACTCGTTGTCCTCGTGCTCCCATCGCTGCCCTCCCCGTCAGCCACGCGATCGTTGTCTTCTTCATTGTTTTGCCGATCGGCGCGGGCCCTCGCCCGCCCCCCCATCCATGGCGTAGATCTCGGTTGTTTTCGGCGCTTGTTTCAAGCAGGTGCAGTGGTGCACGGGGGCCCCGCTCCTCCTCTCCCCATCCTTGGTGGGCACTCGAATTTCTGTTTTGATTATGATTTCGGAGCGGCCCTCGGGAAAATAAGAAAGGGGCTTCGGCTTCACAGTGCCGGATGCGCTGTACAAAGATCATGCCTCCAGGGGTAGCCAATTGCTGTGGGATTCTTTGGAATTGCGAGTCCTACAGATTCCAATCGGATTCCAAATGGATTCTAATTGGATTGAATTCCCCCGTAGGATCCCCTCAGGAGTCCCCATGGGATGTCCACATGGGATTCGCAATGGGTTCCCCCACGAGATTTCCCCACAGGATTCCCCCAAAAGATTTCTCCATGGGACTGGCATATAGGATTCCCGCATTGGACTCACAGGATGTCCCCATATTCCCCGTAGGATTCCAAGGTTTCCCTCCATAGGACTCCCCTGCATGTTTCCCCCGTAAGGTTCCCCCCTTAAGGCATTGTTTCAAACAGTCACACTAAGCAGAGGTCCAGAGCCAGATTCCCCTCCCTCCACCTCCCCCTGTCGCACAATATCGAAACGCCGAATCAGAAAGCTTGCGCCACGCTGTCATTCTCGTCAACCGCCGCCTTGTCGTCGCCATCGTCCCTACGAGCCCAATGGACAGAATCGGCGTTCCCCGCTCTTGTCCGAACAGGTTCTACCACGCCTCAGCGTGCCAGGGTGTACAGTGGCGGAGTCCAAGGGGGTATTGGAACCGATTTCCAACACCGGTGGTTCAAACCGAGCGCGCGGATGCGTATGGGAGAGTCGAGGTTCCAAGATGAACCACGGCAGTGCAATCGTTAGATTGCGACAAGCATGCCGACTGCGACGAGGAGGGGTGATGCTACAGGTCGTTCGTTGAAAGTATGTTGTCTTGGATCCTCTTATCCAGATTTACTGCCAGCGCCTTCCTACTTCAATTGTCGATGGCTCCCTCTTCGAACCGCCCATCAGCTTGGGCGGGCTGAAGCCCAACAGAAATTAACATGGTTCCCACCTCAGGCTTGCGTGACATAGGCAGTTGGCGTGCCAACAGGTGGCTCGTGGAAGCCTTGAGGCACATCGTGAGGTTCAAGTATTATCGACGAAACATGTGCCCCAAGATTTCTTGTATGAAGATTCCCCACCATCTGTGACTGCTGTACAGACTGACCTTGAACGTGTGCTCATCCTCTGTTCTCTTCCGTCCTCTCGAGGCACAGGCGGCACCGCCACCCCCAGCGGCCAGTCGGAGGAGGGCATCGTGCCGTGCAGCCAGGAGCGCGCCTTTCGTCGGCTGGACAGCCTCGTGCTTCGTGTGGCCACGCGAGGGCGGGCATGACGAGCAGGAGGACAGCTGGGGCAGAGGGGACGAACATGAGGAGAGAGGGGAGGACTTTTCGGGCAACCTCCTTGGGGCCAAGCGCGCTCGAAATCTCAGAGGATGTTGTGTTGCTGTACGTCTGGTTGAGCTCCACAAAGCGCTGTGCACTGCAGAGCCGCCAAGGCGCGTAATGAGGGAGGGTAGGGGATGGTGGAGGAGGCGGATTCGGAGGAGGAGGCGGAATCGGAGGATGAGGGTCCGGAGAAGGAGGAGGAAGTCCCAGGTGGGCAGGGGCGCACAGGAGATTGCCGCTGCAGTTTTGCGGATTCCCCTCCCCTCCCATCCCCCACACGTCCAGACCCCTCTCCATATTAGGGCCTTCCCCACTCCTCCTTCCTGTCCTTCCCCTCCGCGACTCCTCCCTCTCCCCTGTCCTCTCGTCGCTCTTTCCCTCCTCGCTCCCTGTCTTTTCGCTGAGAGTGGCGCCATGGAGGAGGAGGAGGAGGGGGACAGGGGACAGTCAAGGTCTAGCATCCGACGGGACGGAAGCTAGCCGCGCAGACCTGGGAGGAGGCCGTGCCTCCGTTGTAAAAAAACGCGCACGTGCGCGCCGAGCGACGCCAACACCCAGTCCGAGGCGGCGCCTACGCTACGCGTCGGCGCTACTCCTGATTGGGCGGTGGGCGCGGCTCTCGTCCAGCCAGCACCTCGTCCCTGAACCAAGCTGGGCCCGAGGACGCAACGCCCGCACACGGGGCGAGGAGCTTGCGCCGGATCGGCGCGTCAATGAGACAGTGCGCCGCACAGCGGCGGCAGAGCAAGCAGCGGCCAGACGCCTGTACGACATGGCCCTCGTAGACAAAGGTGTCTGGCGGCTCCATCGGGGCCTCAGCGGAGGCCTCGAGCCCCAGAGTCCTGAGGGCATCCTGGGCGGCAGCGCTTCGCGCCCTGGGCAGGACGCCGCCGCGCCGCCAGGCACGCACAGAGGAGAGGTAGAGGTGGAGGGCGGTGGGAGTGCAACTCGCACCAGGCTGCTCGAGCTTCTTCCTGCTCAAGGCGGTCCGCGCCGAGCAGTGACACCACGTGCACCTCACGCCCCCCTTAGCCCCCTCCACCGCCTCCAGATCGTGTGAAAGCAAAACGAGTTTGGGGATGCCATCCCCTCGCACCCGCACGGGCGCTGGCAGCTCTGGAGCCGAAGCAGCGGCGTTCTGCGCAGCGCGCGAAATAACATCAAACGTGCGATAGCACTCCTTGAGCTTCTCGCGCAGCTGTGCTGTGACCACATCTGGCCCTTGGTGCTCAGCTGCTCCAAGCCGCGCAAAGAAGTCGGCCCAGGCGCTCCCGATACAATCGACGACCCTCATGCCGAGCGATTCCCAGGAAGACGCCTGGCCCTCCAGGGCCTTCTCCAGATCCAGGTGAGCAGGGGTCCAGCGGAACTCGGGCTTCTCAGGCCTGCCCCTTGTACAAATCAACAGTTTGCCGCCAGATCGAGGCGTGCTTGGCCGCACCAGCAGCCAATCCAGGGCCCCAGGGCGCACCTTCCTTGACCGCGGGCAAATGATCAGACACAGCCTCGGGGCCCCACGGCCCAACCTTCAGAGCGTGGAGGATAGCCTGGCGCTCGGCCCGCGGGGCCGTCTGGACAGGCCCCGCCAGGGGCCCAAACTCGGCCCGCGCGGGCCATCCCCCAGGAAAAAAAAAAGGCCACGGCCGACCAGCCACGGCGCGTGGCCTCACTCCCGTCCGTGTACCAACGAGAGCCCCAAGGCGCGGCTGTCGGAACCCATGAAAAACCTGCGCATGAGTGGCGGCTGTAGGGATCACGACAGGGAGGGGGGGCAAACCATGCACACTCAGGAGTGTCGAAGTCGGGAGGGATCCCATACGCCTGTTCTTTCAGCCATTGACGGTGCTCAAAGCAATCGTCGGGCATAACAGGGCTCTCTTCAGGGTCGTCACTCGCTGCCCAGAGCCCATCGCATTCATAAAACTGATGGCCGAAAGTTCCCTGCTGCTGTTCACAGAGATCACACTTGCTACTGGAAGCATATCCGTGCTGGAACTTGCGCGCGGGTGGCCACATGACTCCAGACCAGAGAGCCCTAAGGCAGGTCCTGCGGGCACCCTGGAGCCTCTGGAAGCCCAGCCGAAGAGCTCGAACCCAGACGACCTCGTGCCCGTGGGCCTCGGGGAGGCTAGATGAATCCACTGGGCTCTACTGATGCCATCCCGCAGCAACACTCGCACATCTGCAAGGGACGTGCACAAAAGAGAGAGCACTTGATGCTGGTCCGTCCTAATATGATGCGGCCCGACGAGCTCCCAGCCAACACGTTGCAAGGAGAGCATCACAACTCCCATAGGCCCCCTGGCCTTAGACCAGTGGGGGGTGGAGCTGAGGGCCTTCGAAGCGCGTTCCCACGCGCAGCGCATGTCAGAGTCACGTGCACGTCCTTCCCAGACCCAGCAACAATATCTAAACACGAGTGGCACAGTCGCGTCAAACATTGGATCGTAAAACCTGTCACGATGTGTGCACAAGTAAGGCGTCACATGACTACGGACTTTGGCACCTAACAGAGACGCGGCAAGCGATCGGAGCGACCGAAGGGTGGCGTCGGTGACACTTGAGACAGCAGCGCCGTGGCTGCCACACGGCATAAGTCCCGTCCTCCAGAGCCCCGCCACCTTCTCACCGCCCGCCGATCGACGCAAGGCCGTGAGCCTTTGCCTACGTAAATCCAACTGCCTTCTCCTACGAGCTTCCATTACCCTAAGGACTCGACGCCCGTACATCTCGTGGCCGAGATTTCGCATGTGTTTGTGATGCTTAAACCCGATCGAGCGGCCAGCCGAGGCGATATGTTTCTCAGCGGCCAGACTCGACGCAACATATCCTGGCTTGTCCGGCTGAAGAAGGAGGCCAGTCGGGGCGACCGCGCGACACAGCTCACGTGCCGCAGCGAGGACCACCTTCGCTTCATTCTTGTCAGGTCCGTCCCATTGCAGGGGCACGTCGTCCATGAGCGCTCGAGCTCTCACGGACGGAAATCGCGACACGACCGAGCTGACAGGTTGGAGCGAAACAGCGAGCATGACTGCGGATGCCGCCGAGCACCCTGCAAGCATGCCCTGAGAATTGACGTGTGCTTCGGACAAGGACCCAAACGCGTCGACCCGTCTGGGGACCATGTAGCTCTGTATGAGCACCCACCCCAACCTGAGAGGAAAGCCCACCTGGCGAAATACCTGAAACAAAACCGACAGCTTAATCATCTCATAGCATTTGACCATGTCTAGCAGCAAATCGACGCTGTGGTGTCCGCATGCCTTCGCTACCTCAGCGGCCAAATTTAAATTGAAGGCTGAATCGCTAGAGTTCCTCCCCCCCCGTCCCCCAGAACACATCATTAAGAGGCTCAATCCTGGTGGCGAGCTCCCACTTCTCGGACTCGGCTCTGCGCAGCCGGCCCCAGACTCGGAAGAGGGAGTCTAGGAGGGCGATCAAACGGTGGCCGCCGTCTGGCTTCGAAAGCCGAACAAGGCGGCTGACGAGCCGTTCCATGGGACAAAACCCCACTCGCTCGCAGCTCATGAGAAGGGCGGCGAGTGCCGCCAGGATGCCGTCAGGATGCCTAAGACCTCGGGTGAATGCTTAGGCATCCGACCGCAGTACGAGGAGGGAATTTGGCAACCGCCGCTCGCAAGTCGGCAATCGTGATGTCGGGGAGCGACGGCCAATCTTTGAAATCGGGCGGAAGCTCGGGCTCGCGGCATCCGTGGGTCGACCAGATGTGGGCCCAGTCCGAGCAAGTCGCATCAGCCGACTCGTATGGCTTGGAGGAGGAGGAGGAGGAGGGGGAGGAGGAGGAGGAGGAGGAGGAGGAGGAGGAGGAGGAGGAGGAGGAGGGAGGAGGAGGGGGAGGGGGAGGAGGAGGAGGAGGAGGAGGAGGAGGAGGAGGAGGAGGAGGAGGAGCAGGAGCAGAGCAGGAGCAGGAGGAGCAGGAGGAGCAGGAGGAGGAGGAGGGGGAGGGAGGAGGAGGAGGAGGAGGGGGAGGGGGAGGGAGGAGGGAGGAGGAGAAAAGGGAGGAGGAAGAGGAGGCGTTTGGATGATCGTGGGCGTTCAGATGGGGCATGGGTGGCTCTGATGGCGTCCGCCGTGTCCCAGAGGAAGGTGGGGGGCGAGGAGAGGCAGGGACGAGGAAGAACGACGGAGGGGAGGGAGGGATAATGTGAAGGCGGGCATGTCCCTCTACAGGAGGAATATTCAAAATAAATAGTCGAGAGACGATTTTCCTACGATTTCTGCATATGTTGTGAATATCGCTTCGGTATGTTGTATGTTTCGCTCAAAATCGGCCTGTAGGGGGACAGGCCCGACCTAAGGATCATGGCGGGCGCGTGAGGAGGGAGGAACTGAAGGAGCAGGGAGCATGCAGTCAAGACGCTGAAGAAGGAACTGCTTGGGTTCGGAATGGGCCCGATGTTCCCCAGGCTCCTCCGTTGCTGTCCCTCTCGTCCTCCTCGGGCACGGAGGCGCTTTGAGGGCCAAAAAGCGGCTTCGTTCCTTATTGTGAAGGCCTTACGTCCGGTGCCGCCGACCCTGAAGGTTTTGGCCGTCGATGGAGACGGGATGTGTGATCACAGGAAGGAGCTAAAGGACAACGTGACAGGGTAGGTGGAGGAAGTGAGTGAGTGAGGAGGAGGAGGAGGAGGAGGAGGAGGAGGAGGAGGAGGAGCAGGAGGGCCCCCCCCCGAGAAGGGGCAGGGCTTCGGAGGAGACTCGGGCGATCGCAGACATGAATCAAGGGGGCGTGGATTAGCGACGGGCCCCGTCTCCATGGGAGAATCGTGGATTTCCGCCGCCGAGCGAGGCGGCACCGGCCGCGTTTTGGGGAGGGCACCTCCCCCGATCCATGGATTTGGCGACCGCGCGCCAAATCCATGGATCGCTAGTCCATGTCTGCGCGCCCCCGAGAAGGAGCAGGGATCCGGAGGAGACGGACGGTGGCGTGCTGCGCTTGGTCGCCATTTCAAGCGTCCGCGCGTCTACAGTGGCTGGCCATACGCAACAGCGGGGGCGCCATCCTGGCGTCCGTCATGCCGAAGGAGAAGGACAGCCTCGCGAAATAGGTTCTTGCTTGGACTCGGCTGAGGGTCTAAGGTGGCCCAGCACTGGGTCTGGCCAGCAGCAAGCGGGGCGAGGTTCGAGGTTCTGGGTTCGAGAAGGCGCTTGTTCCCGGAAAGGGCGGGGGCCCAGGGTTCTCTTTTAGAGGCTTACCCCCGGAATCGAAGTGAAGGAGGCCGGCGGAATTATTTTGCGATAAATGACGAGTTTGAAGGAAGCCGGCGGAATTTTTGTTTTAGGATGTTTCGAGCGAGACGTTTGTTTTTCAGAATTTGTTGAGGATGTCTTGAGCGAAACGCTTGTTGTGTATTATATATTGACCTGGAACAGAATTCAGAGGATCTCTGAAGTGAAATGCTCGTTTTCACGTGCCCAGGTCTTGAGGATGTCTCGAGCGAGACGCTTGGTTTCTCGCCTCCAGGTTGCCCAGGCAGAGGCAGATGCCTAGCATGAGGATGTGTTGAGAATGTCTTGAGAGATACGTTTGTTTTCACGTGTCCAGGTCGCCAGGCGGATGTCAAATATGAAGATGTGTTGAGGATGTCTCGAGCGCGACGCTTGCTTTCACGCGTACAGGTCGCCCAGGTGGATGTCTAGAATGAGGAGGTGTTGAAAATGTCTGTAGCGAAACGCTTGTTTTCACGTGCCCAGGTCACCCAGGCGGACGTCTCACATGAAGATGTGTTGAGGATTTCTCGAGCGAACCACTTGTTTTCACGTGTCCAGTTCGCCCAGGTGGATGTCTAGCATGAGAATGTGTTGAGGATGTGTTGAGCGAAACGCTTGTTTTCACGTGTCCAGGTCGCTCAGGCGGATGTCTAGCATGAGGATTTTGACAGGATGTCTCGAGCGAAACGCTTGTCCCCAGCACGTTCTGTCAATGAACTCTGGGGCAGCTACTATGTGCTCAGGCAGCTCGAGCTTAAGATCCAGATCAGTTCGGTCAGGACTCGGATGCAAAGGAAGACTCGATACACAACGCTAGAGAGCACAATCGCGGCATGGCACATCGCAATTCAGCACGGCGCAGCGCAGCACAGCTCTCGGCACGGTGCACCAAGATCGATACACTCCGCATTGCATGTGCCCGTCACCCAATCAGGTGTATTTGAAAACGTTGCCATGCGTTCCATTTCTATATTCCTTTCCGGGTTCGTGGGTCGATTATGTTGTTTGTTTTCCAGCGGCCGTTTCTACACCAGATGGACATGAGAGGGGTTCGAGGGCCAATGTGTGAGCACAGTTGCCCTTAACGTATCCCTCCATTGACCGATTTGCTGGGGGGCCCATTCAGCTCAGCCCCCCTGATCGCCTCCAAGTTGTTGCTCCTTACCTTTATCGATGGAGTGGCCTCGTGTTGCCTCTTCCTGTGGGCTAGAGGTTGTGCTCTGCGTGGCAGGACGGGGAGGACGAAGACGAGGAGGGAGCCAAACGAGGACGAGGCCGCGGAGGAGGTGGAGGGTGAGGCAGTCGGAAGGAGGTTCAGCAAGAGGGGAAGGGCCGAGAAGGGGAGGGAGAGATCGACCTCGAGGCGGTCGACATCGAGGAAGCTGTAGACTTCCAGCGCAGATCGGCATCCGCTGACCACGCAGCCTCGCTTGATGCAGAAACTGGTATTTGACGGTCCAGGTTGGATTGGGGAGCATTTGCCGCGTTGGCCATACCCTACAGTCGGCCCAGATTAGCAGGTCGACTCTGCCAAATCAAGGGTACCCTTGTGTCCTGTGTCTCGCGACCCGTGCCTCCTGCATTCCTGTGGCAATGTGGCCATCGGAAGGGTCTTGTGTCCTCTCGCGTGTCCTGTCCAATGTTGTCCGACTGTAGGTCAGGATCTGCCCTCGTCCAGTACGTCCTTGCTCCTCCCATCCTCGTCACTCCGGTCCTCCATCCCCCTGGGCCCGTAGTACACATAGCCATGCAGTCCAGGGCCTGCCCTCCCCTGCTGTCGGGATCGCCCCCACCGCCAAGGAGTCTCCCCCCCCCTGTGGGTGCGGGGTGGGGCTGCGGTTGCCCCCCTGTGGGTGTGGGGTGGGGCTGCGGTGCCGCGGTCGTCATCGTCTTCGCGTCGTCGTCTTCGCCGTCGTCGTCGCCGTCGCCGCCTTCGAAGTCACCGACGGCGGCGTCGTCCTCGTCGTCTTCGGCGTCGCCATCGTCGTCGTCTTCTTCGACGTCCCCGTCGTCGTCCTCTTGTCGTCGGCGTCGCCTTCGACGTCGCAGTCGTCGTTGGCATCGTGGTCGCCGTCGTCTTCGACGTTGCCGTCGCCGCCGCCGCCGCCGTCGTCGTCGTCATCTTCGACTTCACCGTCGCCGCCGCCGTCGTCGTCGTCGTCGTCTTCGAAGTCGTCGACGACGAGGTCGCGGTCGTCCTCGTATTTGTCCTCATCGTCGACGTCGACATTGCAGTCGTCGTCGTCGTCGTCGTCGTCGTCGTCGTCGTCGTCGTCGTCGTCGTCGTCGTCGTCGTCGTCGCCCCCCCCCGCAATCACATCTGGGGCAGAGGGGGCCGTAGGGCCTTGGGACCCATCCCCTCTGCGAGCCCGGGAGCGTCTGGGGGGTCTGGGGCCCAGGGCCCCGCGCCGGGCCCCCCTTTACGTACACATTGGCAGAGGCCCCATCTGGGGCGCGAGTTTCCAGCAGAAGAAATTTCCTCCTCCTGCTCCTCCTCCTCCTCCTGCTCCTCCTCCTCCCCCTCCTCCTCCTCCCGCTCCTCCTCCTATGATTCGCGATAACGCTCATCACCAGCCTCTGAAGCCCGACGAGGACCCCACTACTAAGCGACAAGAGGTTCCCGAGAGAGCCCAAGGATTGTCCGAGATGGCCCCGGCTCTCCCCAGCATCGCTCCAGGACGCCCAAGATTGACGTCAGACGTCCCCAGAGGCCCCCAAGACGCCCCAAGAGGGCTCCAAGAAACCCCACAAATGAACCCCATGATGCCAAAATCAAGGATGTTCCTCAGGTTTTTGACTAGTGTGACCGTTCTCGCCATTTTGGATTTTCGACTCCCCAAAGCGGCCCCGAAGAGGCCCCCGATGTCACCCTAACAGGGCGCCTGGACGGCCCAAGAGGGCCCAAGACAGCCCAAGAGGGGCCCAAGAGAGGTTCCAGCGGGGAGCACGAACCTACATTTCGAGCCCTCCGCCCCAAGACGACCTCCGAGACCGCTAGCAGCGCTCCAAACAATCCCCGCAGAGGGTCCAGGAGCCCCCCACTTGGCCGCAATCACGCCCCCTGGCCGCCCTCAGCGCAAGATGACTGACAAATGGGACCAACCCCCGGAACCCTCTTTCGTCTCGGGAGTCTGGGACTCTTTTTCCGGAAAGGGCGTAGGCCCAGTGTTCTCTTTTAAAGGTCACCCCCCCAGCCTCGACTTAAAGGATG